GAGGCGACAGTAGGCTAGGCGCTTCGGGCTCACTTATTAACAACATATATAAGTTCTCCTCCGTCTCTTCCACTTCCATATTTATTCTCTATCCTCTTCACACATATACACATAGGGAAAATACACATATATTAAATTACAAAGGTAATGATAAAACACACCTTTGAATCACGGCATTACTTTTACATATAATTAAAAACAATTTATTCAGATTTAGTGTTTATCATCATATTTTTAATAATATAGTGTACGTCTGGTACATTTTTAAGTGAAAAATATTTATATTACATTTTGTATATAAATAATACTGGAGTTGAAGTTTCGTAAAGGTGTCGTGTAGGCGCCATTATCTGCACTGTATTATAGGGACAAAATACCCGACAACATGGGTATGAGACGCAGAACACCTTAGGCCTACTTTGTGATGAAAGCTTATTGATAATAATTAGCATTGTATTAGTATTATTAATTCTCATTTAAATATGATTAAAAGAACATGTCAACATCTGTCAACCTTGCGAACTAGTTAACACCTGTCGACCTTTCCAGTTAGTCAATACCTGTCGGCCTTTCCAGTCAGTCAACACCTGTCGACCTTGCCAGTCAGTCAACACCTGTCGACCTTATTAGCAAGTCAACATCTGTCGAGCTTGCCAGCCAGCACCTGTCGACGTTATTACGTTTCTGGTTAAGCAAAACAGTTGCAATTTTTAATTGTAAGTCGAGATAACGGGGCTAGCTGGCGAGGCTGCAAGTAGATGAGGTTCAAGCTAATGTTTTCGTTCTTTGGACAGAACAGAGGAATAGTGTTTCCCTAACGAACCGGTTTCTCATTTCAGCATAATTATGGCAGTTACAAACTATAGGAGAGGAGGCCCTGTATGAGGTATTTTCAATTACAAAGTCTATTGTCGAACAGAATAGTTTTTCTGATGAATTAGCGTGAACTTAGGCTATCGTGCTACGCCCACTCATCATGCTAACGTTTCGCGTTTTTGTCTGTTGCATTGAAATTGGGGCCAACTTACCCAATAGGCCAAGAAGGCCATGACCTTGGGAGTCCACCTGAGCTCTCTACATGTATGTGTTTAGCCTCTGAATAACCACACTAACCAGAGGATGGGACCCATTTAGCTGTTTTTTACCTAGGGCCCAAAAACAGTTACATCCAATAAGGGGGTAGAAATAGCCTAAGCTACTCTATCCCTTTGAGATGTATTTTTCTCTTGTCTCAATAAACATACTTGAACTGAAATATTCATTATTTATTGGAGGGTGGGCCGGGCTGATAGGGTAAGGCAGACATGTCAAACATGCAGCCCTATGTAAGCACACCTGCGGCCCGCACAAGCACACCTGCGGCCCGCACAAACACACCTACGGCCCGCACAAAGGATACTGGTCGTTTAACGGCCAAAATTGCAGTTTTTATAATTTAAACTACCACCTCTGCAGGCAGAGGAAAGCCTGCAGACAGAACTACTAGAAATGCAGTCGGATTCTACACTCAGAGCAAAGTATCTTGAAGTGGGGATACCTGGATTCTTTTCATGTCTTCCAGAAAAGTTGAAAACCTTAGAAAGTTTGCCACAAGGATTATGGCAATGTTCGGTTCTACCTGTGTGTGTTATTTTCCTTCATGAAATCACCAAAAACTTCTCAGAGAACAAGGCTGACTGATCAACAAGACTGATCAAGAGAACAGATAACAGAGAACAAGACTGATCAACACTTGTCATATCTGATCAAAGTGGAGACTGCACAGACCTTTCAGCCAGACATAGCAAAGAATGCCATTAAAAACAGGTGTCAAGCCTAAAGACAAAACACTAAAAATTATTGAATAGTCGTATATACATGCTTATTTTAAACCGTTGTAATTTTTATACAATGTATTTGTTGCTGTTGCATAGAAGTTTATGTTGCCATTTAAAATTTTGTTTTCTTTCTTTTGTTAAACTACTTTATTACTTTGCATTCTGAATGTGGCTAGTCGCTAAACCATTTGTATGCACATTGTATGTTTCTAAGTTTAAGTAATAAAAATATTCTGCAATAACTTTTATTAAATGACTTCAATTAGTTGTCGTGAATGGCCCTTAATGACGACACAAATGTGGCCCATATGGCCCTCTCGGGGGACCCTCAGTTTGACATGCCTGGGGAAAGGGATGGTAGGCCAGGGGGATGGGTTTTGGGATGGTAAGACAGGGTGGGATAGGGAGGATAGGGACGTAGGGTACACTCAGCTCGAGCGTTTTAGAAAATGCACACATCGCCGGCTAAGCTATTCTCAAATCTCTCTTGTTCCTCGAATATTAAAATTCAATATATTTTAGACCTTATTTTGCTATGAAAGTTACATTTCATGTTATGCGTCATTTTAGCGTCCTAGTTATTTTGAAAAGCCTGATAAAATTTATACATTTCTTCATATCTGAACGATCGTTAGTGTGCCTTTCAAATAATCATGTATATATTATATCGAGGCAGTTAATTTTCTTTTGCCGAATTATCATAATTATATTGATCCGTATTTGTCACACTTTTTACATTGTTTTTTCGAGGTTTATTATTAAATAAGGTGAAGGTAAATTTTTAATAATGTCCTCATAATTTACAGGCATAATTATTTGTTTAAATTTAGCCTTCAGTTTTTAATATTCTGCTAAATTCGCTAATTATACCCATGTTCTTTACTTGCTGGGAGGTGATATTAAATTCCTCATCTAAATACCTCACGGACGGAAATGTGCAATGCTCTCAAGATTTTATTTAATCTCGTATATATTATTTTACTTTATTTGTATCTATTTTATTTTAGTTGTATCTATTTTTTTTATGTTTTCAATACAGTAATTAGCGTCCATGTGAGGTTACAGTGCGATGAAGGTGTGTGGTCAGTGTGCTGCCACACCAAACTCTTCTACGGGCTCACCATAGCCCGTGCTACTTGGAACTTTTTGCTCCAAGTAGCAAATCTTAAACAACAACCAAACTCTTCATCACAAGTTACTCAACTGAATTTCACATAACTAACATTCGTCAGTGTCCGTAATTAACATCAACATTTTTTTCACAACTTTTGTTACTTGGCGACAAAATCTCCACTGTAACCGACCACCAGGGACACAAACACCACTGTAACCGACCACCAGGGCCACAAACACCACTGTAACCGACCACCAGGGCCACAAACACCAGTGTAACCGACCACCAGGGACACAAACACCAGAGTAACCGACCACCAGGGACACAAACACTAGTGTAACCGACCACCAGGGACACAAACACCAGTGTAACCGACCACCAGGGATACAAACACCAGTGTAACCGACCACCAGGGACACAAACACCACTGTAACCGACCACCAGGGACACAAACACCAGAGTAACCGACCACCAGGGACACAAACACCAGTGTAACCGACCACCAGGGACACAAACACCAGAGTAACCGACCACCAGGGACACAAACACCAGTGTAACCGACCACCAGGGACACAAACACCAGTGTAACCGACCACCAGGGATACAAACACCAGTGTAACCGACCACCAGGGACACAAACACCAGAGTAACCGACCACCAGGGACACAAACACCAGAGTAACCGACCACCAGGGCCACAAACACCAGTGTAAGCGACCACCAGGGACACAAACACCAGTGTAACCGACCACCAGGGACACAAACACCAGTGTAACCGACCACCAGGGACACAAACACTAGTGTAACCGACCACCAGGGACACAAACACTAGTGTAACCGACCACCAGGGACACAAACACCAGTGTAACCGACCACCACCGACACAAACACCAGCATAACCGACCAACACAAACACCAGTGTAAGCGACCACCAGGGACACAAACACCAGTGTAACCGACCAACACAAACACCAGTGTAAGCGACCACCAGGGACACAAACACCAGTGTAAGCGACCACCAGGGACACAAACACCAGTGTAAGCGACCACCAGGGACACAAACACCAGCATAACCGACCAACACAAACACCAGTGTAAGCGACCACCAGGGACACAAACACCAGCATAACCGACCAACACAAACAGCAGTGTAACCGACCACCAGGGACACAAACACCAGCATAACCGACCAACACAAACACCAGTGTAAGCGACCACCAGGGACACAAACACCAGCATAACCGACCAACACAAACACCAGTGTAACCGACCAACACAAACACCAGTGTAAGCGACCACCAGGGACACAAACACCAGTGTAAGCGACCACCAGGGACACAAACACCAGCATAACCGACCAACACAAACACCAGTGTAACCGACCACCAGGGACACAAACACCAGCATAACCGACCAACACAAACACCAGTGTAAGCGACCACCAGGGACACAAACACCAGCATAACCGACCAACACAAACACCAGTGTAAGCGACCACCAGGGACACAAACACCAGTGTAAGCGACCACCAGGGACACAAACACCAGCATAACCGACCAACACAAACACCAGTGTAAGCGACCACCAGGGACACAAACACACAGTTAAACACTGGTGGGATAAACTGGGACGAGCAACCCTCCCGGTGGAGTCTCTGATCGACCTCGAGGAACTTCAATTCAACAAGTAAAGCGGACCGAACCAACGGCATCTGTGTTCCAGTGGGTTCCAGGAGACACGGTCCGCTCTAGCCAAGTGGGACATGGAACAACCTGATATACTCTGTTCCAGTGGAACATGGAACAACCCGGTCTACTGTTTTAGTGGGAAATGGAACAACCTAGTCCACTTTGTTCCAGTGGTACATGGAACAACCTGGTTCACTCGATTCCAGAGGGATTTAGTGAATACTTGGCCCACTATCCCAGCGGGGTCTGGAAGCACTTGGTTCAATCGCAGTATGACCTGGGACCGTTTGGTCTCCTGTGTCCCAGCGGGTCTAGAACACTTTGTTCATTATACTTTAATACGATAGGCAACGGAATGCATGCTCCCTAGAAAGAAAAAACATTATATTTTAAGGGAGTAGAATTCCAGCCTTTGCAGCAAAGCTGGAAATCCATAGGCTTGCGGCTTTTTTTCCTTAAGCTGCTCCCGTTTTAGGGTACGATCCAGGAAGGGAACGCCCGCTGCATCCTGGACTTGAGCTCCGCCACCGAGGGCAGGAAGGGAATTTACAACCTCATAATGTTCCAGCTTTATATCTGTGCTCTTGCACTCTGTATGCAGCTCCAGTACATTCTTGCACTTCAGTAGAGTGTTAGAGGAGAAATGAAACTATATTCAGATGCGCTCGTGTAGCTTTATTTTTTTTTTATTTGAATGCTTTATTGCGTGAGGTGATTGACCCCCCCCCCCTACTCTACAGCTAGTAGTACTCACTTATGTGTCTTGACAGGGGTGAGCTTCAGCTCCTGGTCCTGGCCTTCCAGTAGCGGGTATGAGGGTTCATGTTTTACGCCATATAAATGAGAGTTAAGGATTATCTACGGTTATCGCCAATAAACGTTAACGATTTTAAAACGTAACAATTATAAAGAACATATATGAAATAAGAAAATGGAAAAACACCCAGACGAAATATTTTAATACGTACTAGAACGAGGTATTAACACCTCGCAGGTATGATTAATACCTATTATTAGTATCTCTTGGTATTAAAACACCCTAGAGATACTTATAACGTGGGGTACCTTTAGCAGATACTGGAGTATCTGCTTAAGGTTTCTGCCCGAAACGCTTTGCGTAATAGTGGCTTTAGGCATTGTATGTACTAGCTCTATTTATAAATCCATCAACTTTTGTATTTCACCCTGTATGTATGTACTTTACCTGAATAAATATTTGTATTGTATATAAGTTGATATTTGTCGATAAGAGTTCCTTCACTCTTTTGTGGTATCTTTCCACAGAAGAATCCCACTCACCGAGTCTATCTTTTTGTTTTGTTTTATAATTAACAATTATAAATTAGATATTAGATATATATTAGATAGATATTAGATATATATTAATTAGATATACCCAGTAATGTGCTGCTAACTTATTCTATACGAAAGGTTACAAAGTGTTGATCAAAACTAGCTATATGTCCATCTTATATCCCTATCTCACAGGATGGTTAGTCATACATGGAATGAGGAGAGAACATGAAATGCGAGGCTGATCTATTAGCCTCCACTAGCACAATCTGAGTACAGCACAAGAATATATTTCAATGTTCGTGAGTGTATGAAGCAATTACAGAGCTCAAAGTATCTCATACCATTTGATCTGAAATCACTGATAACAGGGCAATCACAGATATATCTGTAGTCTCTGGCACAAGACTTAGCTCTGCCTCACACATCTGGACAACATCCCTCCATGGGTACCGAAACATGCAGCTGGAGTACTGACCAGCCCCTCACAAATGAGTGAACTCATCACTCATCACTGCAAATGAATGTATAACCAAAGGTACGGAGAACACCAAATATGTGTCAGTTTTACCCCCCCCCCCCCCTTCCCCACAAAACAATAACAGAAGTCACTGAACTACAGTCCAGTGGAACTGAAAATTAAAGGAACCACCATCTCTCATGTGCAGCTGTACCCGCTAATACACCAAGACTCGGAACATACCTTGTTTGGAGCAGAAAATTGCCGCTCTTGCCTGCAATTCGTAAATAAACAACGAAATAGTCTAGTAGCTGCCCAGCTGACTGGTACTGCGCACTCGGATGCGCACGCCACCCAAATTGTTGTACCGCATTTGACACCCATTCCCCATGACCAAGATAGAGCGATAGATTTATGAATTGTAAAGAAACAAAGCTAAGAGAGAGAACTTTACTTCGCACATGAACGTTTCATTAAATCTAACCCAGATGCAGTGGGCAGCTGCTGACAAGAGAAAAGATAATAAGTTGAGGGCGGAGTAAGTAATTATTAAAGAAAACGCAAAGCCTGGAGAGGTGTGTAGTACTTTACAGAATATTCAAGAGTTCCGAGATATCATTCCGGACACCAGTACCAGAACACAAACACAAAAGACGAGTGATGTTAAATGAACCAGATTCACCAGGGATTATAAATTAAATCACGTATGACTTACAATAAGTAGAGAAGCAACAGTATCTGAGCAACCTGTCCTCTTACAAAGAACGTCGCTTTTCGCTCGTATGCGTTACATAAGAAAAATAAGGCCAAAAATTGTCGAACTAGAAAATGGAAGTGTCTCGCGAAAGTGACGTTCTGTCCCGTTTTCTTTTTGGGTTCTTTAGTATGTTAGGAGAGACCACTTTAAATTGATTGTGTTTACTTGACGTTGGGAAACCTTAGGAGGACGGACTGGGGAGACGGTGTACAAAACCACAATCAGCGCTATAGTAAAAAAAAATACTCGTCTATGTGAGAAGGCTTCGTAATGAGGTTTTATTGGGGAAAATAATGGAGAAAGGTACACCGAAAGCAGGTTTCGGCCTATTTGTAAATAGGCCGAAAATCACTATCCAGTGGCTCGTGGATAGTGATGAAAATGTTAAATGAAAAGTCGTTTAAGACAGTGTGGAAGGGACATTGGGCGGATGTAAGTCTTCAATGACAGCTTCGCAAAATTTAACAGACGAGACTTGTAACGTACGATTATGTTACGTTGTTGGGTAGCTTAGATACAGTGTTTAGTGAGTTTCATATTTATTTAGTAGTTCTGGATACAGCAGTGTCGTAGACGTTGAGACGGAGCTTGGGGCAGAGCAGAGAGCTGAGTGTGGCCGGAGTCGCGGAGCTCTGTGTGGGAGAGAGTTGTAGCTGGATGTGGTCCTAGTCTGCTGCCTGTTCTGTGTCGAAGCTGTAGCGTCTTGGAGACGATTAGAACTGCCTACACAGAGTGCTACATTCTTGACTGGAAATTGTACCTTTTGCTATTCGATTGATTGATTGATGAAGATTAAGCCACCCGAAAGGTGGCACGGGCATGAATAGCCCGTAAGTGGAGGCCCTTTTGAGCCATTAAGAGTATCAATAGATGATACTGGAGATCTGTGGAGGTGCAACTGCACCCTGCGTGACGGGAGATGTCTCCCGTTCGATGTGTCCAATTGATTGACGATTGATGAAGATTAAGCCACCTAAAAGGTGGCACGGGCACGAATAGCCCGTAAGTGGTGGCCCTTTTGAGCCATTACCTGTATCACATTTTCTGCTATTCATACTTTGGCCATAGTAGCATAACACAGACAATCTTTCCATAACTCCAGTCTTTTACAAGCCCTTTCCCTTTCTCAAAGTAAATGGGTAACTTTTATATATTTTTACCATTTCATACCCCTAAGCTGCTCCAACCGGCGGAGTACCGGCACGCCAATGGTAGACTGTTATATTATTTGTATAAGAGACAGAGATGGTCAGCAAAAAGACAGACTGATTTAAGGATACAAAGAATTTAATTTACAAAGATTTTATTATCTGCAGTTTTATAAAATACAGAAATAATATAACTTCATACAGGATTTCTATTGTACTTATAAGACAGTTCTGCCGCGTCTCTGTTATACTATTTAAGAAAAGTCTTTTTGACCAAGAATAAAAGGCTATGGACGCATTCTTTAACTTCTAATTGGGAAACAAAACTTCATTTTGCATTACAATCTTTCTGAATGGTATTTGTCTGTAATAATGAGCAAGTAAAATTGCAGTTTATAAAAAACTAAGAAAACGGTGTAAGGGGGGTAACTCCTCCCTTTCTGTCTGACCAACCATGAGATATCACCACCACCCAGACGACCTCCTGCTTCACTACGCTTGGGACGGTTCACTAAATGTCATATTCCTACTCCGTGTAGCTTATATGGCGCTATTCCTAACACAAATGGCTTATTGCTCCGCCACTGCACGTTCTAAATTAATGCGGCGCCCGCCAGCACTACACGCACCAGCTCTTTACTTACTGCGCCATAAATCGTGATGCTCTCCTGCGGGTAATACTTGATGTACCAAGGAACTCAGTAGTGTTTCTGTCACGCAGACTCCTTCTACGGCAGTGTGCCCAGAAATCTATTGGCGTTTTCTTTCATTTAAAGCTATACATTTGGAATAATTAATTCCAAATATTTAGCAATATATCGAGAACTGTAGTAAAATTTTGTTGACCTAAGATAAAGTGAAATCCACACTAGTGAATTTATCTATCATTATACTATTATGCAGGAAGATGGGTCTATCTATGGGTCTATGGGTCTATATGACCCATATCTATGGGTCATCCAATAAGGTCAGCACACTTTTATATATCCCTATCTTTAGGCTTTAACCCAACTATAAGCTTTTTTTTATTAACACATTTATTAACACATGTGCATTTATGCAGCTACCCCTAGACTTAAGGGGGTACATGGTGTATGAAGACCTACGTACGTGATGCTAAAAAAAATCCCACGTGATCAGTAGCCAGGATTGGCAACTTTTGTGAGCAATATGAGGATATCCTCGTGAACACGAGAAGTGATAAAGTGATTGCAGAGCTCCCGGTACCTCATGTCGTGGGGGGTCTGAAGGGTCTAATAACTGGACATTCAGTGATGTAGTGTGCACAGACACACTTCAGGATCCTACACCACCAATGATCACATTCACTCCAAACATCTACCACCCACGGGCTACTCATGCCCGTGCCACCTTGTGTGGTGGCACGAGGAGGTAAACTATGTAACTAACATATAAAGACTGTAACTTGCTTAATCAAATGAAATCTGGGGTTCACTTCCTGAGCCTATGTGTCTAACCTTTCCACTACCACCAACAGGATGGGTATAGTATGCATAGCAAATGAACTAAATCAATAAATCCTAGTGTATAACAAAATATTAAGTGATATTGGTATGAGACTTGAGTTAGTTCTGGGATATTTTTATCGCCCTGAGTTTAAAAATTTTTCAAAAACAGTTACATAACCTTTCAAAGGCGATGTCCTTATGCTTAGGTAAGGCAGTGTGGATTGATGCGCATGAAAACATTTTTACTGGTCAATAACGTTCTTTTCCTTGATGTCAGAGGTGAAATTGAAATTGAAATAAGTTTATTGAGGTAAAATACACACAAAGGGATGAGGTAGCTCAAGCTATTCTCACCCCGTTCAGTACAACGTGTTAGTACATACATAGACACACATCACAAACAATAAACCTGTTACCAAACATTCTGAGAGATAAACATATACATTTCCTCCTTCACAAGTGGTATGGTATCAGATGTCAGAGGTTCGTTTG